AACATTTGTATTCAGGCCTTCACGAGCAGCTGTTAAACCCTAAACCCTAAACCCTAAACCCTAAACCCTAAACCCTAATTTAGGATCGCCGGGGGACCACCAACCACAAGTTTCAATCCCTAAACCCACATGCAGAACTCACAAGCCTAGGATAATACTAAACACACATAAACCCTAAACCCTGAACCCTACTAAACCCTAAACCCTAGCATTTGCCTCAAACCCTAAACCCTCATCGATAGTTGCAGTGGGGTTTACAGCTGTCTATAAACTTCTGCATGTTTTCTTTTTGTATTTTATAATATTTGTATATACACTTAATATTTTTTTGTTTTATTTAGGGGGACGAAGAAAACTTCTCTGTGTGTGTTGGGGTGTATGTACACCTCGATTTGTTTAGTCATTGAGACTGAGGTGTACATACACCTGAAACAATAAGCATTATTTCCCTCTATTTTTTTTATAAACAACTTGCGGGGGAAAGTGACCCTGAATACCCCCAAATATTACACAGAATGAGGGTTTAGGGTTTAGGGTTTAGGGTTTAGGGTTTAGGGTTTAGGGTAGTGGAGCCGGTGGTGCTGGGGCGTGCATAGATGGATCCGTCCTTTCAGGCGCTAAACCAACCAGAAAAAAGAAAAAAAACAACAATTTAATATTTTATTTTAATTAATTATTTTAATTTACTTTTATAAATAAAAAATAAACACAACACCACCCGGACCGCTGACGAGACCACCATACACCGATCCACTGTGCTGGCTGCTGCGGGCGGTCTGTTGCTGGGGTGTACATACACCTCAGAGTTTTGTTTTTTTTTGTAGAAATTTCAGTTTTATTTGATTTATTTTCATTCTTTTGACGTTTTTATAACGCCACCATTGCAGCAGTTGCTGCGGTTCAGCAGCAGCAGCAGCAGCAGCAGCTGCTGCTGCTGCTGCTGCTGCTGCTGCTGCTGCGACCGGGGCCCGCCCAGTATGGCTTCTGCGTGTTGGTGAGGGTTTGTTGTTTTGTTTGTTTATTTTTATGTATTTATTTTATTGTTTTTTGACTTTGTTTGTCTATTGAATGCATAAAGAAGGTCCTCTGCTGCTGCAGCAGCTCACGCCTATTATATTGTATACGCGCGAGCTGTACATACACCGCAGCGATTGAGGGTTTACAGCAGCAGCAGCAGCAGCAGCAGCAGCAGCAGCAGATATAAAAACCATAAAAACTCTTCTTTATTCAAATACTTTTGGGGCTGCATGCGTTCTCTCTTCTGCTGCAGAAGAAAAGAAAACCCTCAACCCAACACACACACACACTAACCCTAGGAAGCAAACATCACCGCTCTAGGGTTTAGGGTTTAGGGTTTAGGGTTTAGGGTTTGGGGTTTACCCGTTGAGGCTAGCAGCACTAGAGAGGGAAGCTGTCGCCAGCCAAAACAGCAAACTCCTATAGCAGCAGCAGCAGCAGCAGCAGCAGCAGCAGCAGCGGCAACAGCAGCAGCAGCAGCAGCAGCAACAGCATCAATAGCCGCCGCTGCAGTAGCAGCAGCAGCAGCAGCAGCTGAAGGCAGACCTGCAGAAGCAACAGGGGTACAGCAGCAGCAGCAGCAGCAGCAGCAGCAGCAGCAGCAGCAGCAACTCAACAGCAGCAACTCAATACGAACAGCAGCAGCAGCAGCAGCAGCAGCAGCACTAGTAGCAGCGTCAACAGTAGCAACGACAGCAACAGCAGCAACAGCAGCAGCAACAGCAGCAGCAGCAGCAGCAGCAACAGCAGCAGCAGCAGCAGCAAAGAGAATTTTCTTCGTTGAAAGCATCGCCTATAGAGTGTGTTTGAGCATAAGAGACAGACAACAGCAAGCAGCAGCAGCAGCAGCAGCAGCAGCAGCAGCAGAAAGAAAAAAAACAAAAGACAAAAGGAGAGAGAAAGAAAAAGGAAAAAAATAAAAAGAGAGAATGGCGTTTCTCGATAGCGACGCAGAACAAACCCCACAAACAATACAAAAATATAAAGCGGCCCTTGAGGCGGCGAAGCATGAAGACCACTACCAGTAAACCCTAAACCCTAAACCCTAAACCCTAGACCCTAAACCCTAAACCCTAAACCCTTGAGTCTAAACCCTTATGTGTAAACAATGAAAACGGTTTGTGCGAAGGGTTTGAGCTGCTGGAGACATTCACAGATTTTGCTTAAAAAATAATTAGGGTTTAGGGTTTAGGGTTTAGGGTTTAGGGTTTAGGGTTTAGGGTTTATGTATATTAGGTTTAAGATGAGGGGGTTGATGAGAGAACTAGGAAAAGATATAGAAGGCAACGAAGTGCTTCTCTTTGTTCCTTGCTTGGTTACTGCTCCAGGCTCCCCCTACGACCAAGCCCTGTAAACCCTAAACCCTAAACCCTAAACCCTAAACCCTAAACCCTAAACCCTAAACCCTAAACCCTNCACCCCCCCCCACAACCCGGCTCCTTTCTAGGGTTTAGGGTTTAGGGTTTAGGGTTTAGGGTTTAGGGTTTAGGGTTTGCGTGCAGGAATTTTTGTTTATCTACTTTCAATAAAAAAGGGGGTTCTCCTTTTGTTTTAATATTCGCCGAATCGATGGCCTCCTGGATAGGCGGAGAAACCCTACAGTTCGTTAGGGACCGTACGCTAAACCCTAAACCCTAAACCCTAAACCCTAAACCCTAAACCCTAAACCCTAAACCCTAGACACTAAAACTTAGACACTGAACACTAAACCCTAAACTCTAAACCCTAGACACTAAACCCTAAACGCTAAACACTAAACCCTAGAATGTAAACACTAAACCCTAGACACTAAACCCTAAACCCTAAACCCTAGATACTAGACAGAAACGCCGCCAGAGGAAGAAACCCTTCAGTGCTCCTATATGCTGCTGCTGCTGTGGCAACAGCAGCAGCAGCAGCAGCAGCAGCAGCAGCAGAAAAGCTGCTGCTGCAGTAGGCGCAACACGAGCACTGCAGCAGTTTCAACAGCAGCAGCAGCAGCAACAGCAGCAGCAGCAGCATCAACAGCAGCAGCAGCAGCAGCAGCAATAGCAGCAAATGTAGAATCATCGACGACCTCATATAATAAATGTTTCTGTAATATTATATTTGCGCTGCTTCTGCTGCTGCTGCTGCTGCTGCTCTTGCTGCTGCTGCTGCTGCTGCTCTTGCTGCTGCTGCTG